GCTTCATTCTACATACCCAGCCATGGCCCTAACCCAGGGCAGGGCCCCAAGACAAAGGAGCCGTGGAGAAGGAGGTTTTGCACTCAGAAACAGCAGTGCAGCATTCCTAGAAAGGGGCCCGGCACACACTGAGCAAGCTGGCATGGGACCTGTCTCCTCTTGGAGGCTGGGATTTGTCCTGGTACAAGCAGGTGATGTAGACCCAGCTGCCCCTCCCTGGTAACTATGTTCTCCGCAAAGACTTTCCTGGAGCTATTTAGCCAGAATGTGTCTAGGCAAGGCTGTCTACTGGGATGCGGGTTTTGGGCAGACCAGGTGTGGGTATGTGGATGGATAACAAGGTGGAAATTGTCCACCAGGCCTGAGGCTGACATTCTCCCCTGCCTCCCTCCCCCATCTTTGCCTTTCTGATTAATGACCTGATTTTCTTGTGTGGAACCAGCTTGTATAAAAACGAGAGTCTCCCCTCCCTCACCCTCCGAATCCTTTCTGGCACTAGTCTGGTTTAGCCTTTATCTTCTCGGAAAAATGGTCTCCATCTTTGCCTCCACACCGTAACTGTTGGTCCTGTGACCCGTGATGCATTGACGTCACACTGCAGCTAGGTCCCGGGGAGGTGGGCCAGGGGGCATCGTGTGGCTCCAGGCTGTCCAACTCATACCCATTCAACAGCCTGGCCTTCTGTCTGTACCAGCTAGATGCCCAGTTCCTAGTGTCCCTCTCTTTCTCCAAGCTGGAGCTTACCTTAGCGAGAAGAAGTAGAGGCGATCTTGGAACCCTTGCTATGGGCAGAAGACGGACAAAGCCTTCATGTGCGATTCCAGCTTGGTCCCAGAGCCGAGATGATGGCTCCTGTGTATAGACCTCGCTGGGAGCTGAATCAGGGCACGGACTCCTGGCATTCCATCCTGAACTTAACCAATGTACTCACTACCCTCGAATGGCACCGCAGGGCTCGGGTGGGCCTAAGCCCTCCACACACCTCCCATGGCAACACTCAAGCTGTGCAACCACCTCAGCCTGACCCCTGGTGGGAGGGGGCTGCACCCCCTTCCCATTCCAGGCAGCATGGATTCTCTTCCGTGTGCTTTCTGTGTAGGCTGGTGAGGCTGTGCCTGGCAGATACAGGGCAGTGACAATATAGATGGTAGTAAGAAAACAAACACAAGACTCCTCCAGGCTGGCTGTAGATTCAAAGCTCAGCACAGCCCAGCCCAGCTCAGGGGCCAACTGGCAGAGCAGAAAGGGGTCAGGCAGGAGCGTCTGGCATTGCCATGGCTGCTGGGTATTGAACACACGCTGTATGCCAGGCTATGGCTCAGGGCTTTAAAGATAGCACCTTAGTGAATCACCAGAGAACTCCGAGAAAAAGTACCCGGAGTATTTTTACAAATGGGGAAACTGAGGCACAGGATGGTTTCTGTCTGAGGAGAGGGCTTGAGATTTCAGAAGGAAATGGGGGAGTAGACAGAATGGTCTGGGAATTGCTGCGGGTCCAGGCTGGAGGCCGGGGCAGCGTCAGGACACAACCCAGATTTAGAGTTCTCAGCTCCCAGGCTGGGTTTGTTTTTTCTGGAAGAATGGAGTCAGGACAGTGCCGCAAAGGGGTGGGTTGGGGTCCAGGCTCCCCTGGTCCCCCTCAGCCAGTGCTGCACCTCTTAGCCCTGGGATCTTAACCCCCCCCAAACCAGAGGAAGCTGGACCCCATGCACTGGAAGCAAAACAAGAGAGCCACGCTTGATTTCTGCTGAACCATCTGCCTTTGCTTTTCTTAAAAAATAAGCAGCCATTCTTCCAAAAAAGGGAAAACCACAGAGCAAGGCTGTCAATCTCCTGCCTCCGACAAACTGAATAAAGTAGTCATGACTTCTCTCTCTCTCCCTCTCCCTTTCTCTCTCTCTCTCCCCCAATCCCTCTCTTTCTCCCTCTCCTTCTCTCCCCCTTCTCTCTCCTTTCTTCCCCTCTCCCCTCTCTCCCTCTCCTTTTCCCTCTCTCCCTCTCTCCCTCTCCCCCTCTCTCTCTCCTCTCCCTTTCTCTCTCTCTCCCTCTCTCCTCTCTCCCCCTCTCCTCTCTCTCTCTCTGCCCCCCCCCAGTCACTTACTGTACAGCCTGTCACAGGCTTTGAGATGCAAATCACACCAAGCGGAAGGCAGCTTGGAGAACAAAGAGCAATTGAAGAAAGATCTGAAAAATGGATTTAGGGAAGACTCTGAATTCCCTGGGAGAGGAGAGATTTGGGGCTCTTTAGGGGGCAGCAGAAGAGGTGTTCCAAACTGTTAGGGAGCGCTTGAGGCCTGAAGGGGGGGTGAAGGCTCTGGACGGCAGGACGTCCAGTTTTGTAATAGTTCTTAGGATTGGGCTGGCTTCCCCTCACCCTTCTTTTTAATATCCATCAGCCTCGGACACACTGGGAGCTAGAGGCCACCGGCCTCTGGCTGTGACTCCACAGTTAGAAAAGCCAGGACAGCAAGCACAGGACACCCATAGGCTTGGATGGGTATGGCCAGCACATCAAGGGTTCAAGGAAGCTGGTGCTATGCACCGATCCTACAAGGAGTATAGACAAAGGCCCCTCCCCACCCCCTCTGCGAGGCAGGCAGGTGTACAGCTGGGAGAGAGACCTGAATTCAAATTCTCCTCTGTCATTCATGTGCTGTGCAGCTTCCAAGGAGTCAAGACTTCTCTGAGCCTCTGATTTTTTTATTTTCCCATCTGTACTTCCTCCCTGATCTTCTTAGCCTGGGCTCTGGAGCCTCAGGCTGAGCACCCAGGGAGACCTGTGGTTAATGAGGCCTCTGGGCAGTGTGCCTGGTAGCTCCCACCTTCCTCAGCCCCCTTGAGCTGGGCCAGGCAATCAGGGTGCTGATTGTACCCCATCTGCAGCTTAATGTCTTCTCCAGAGAGGCAGAGCCGGGGGTTGAATGCTAACTAGGGAAAACCAGGCTCCGGCCTTCACAGCAGCAGCCGGAACAAGAGCTGAGGACAAGTCCCTTCTGTCGGGGATCTGCTGGCAGCCAGGCTGGGGCACTGGCCGGCTTCCTGGCAGTGAAAGGTCATGGGGTCCAGCTCCTGCTCCTGAGTGCCTCTGCAGCCCCAGTTTCTCCTGGTGAAAGATGGGGGTGGTCCTCCCTGCTGATCAGAGGATGGGTGGCTGGACCAGGGCGAGTGTCCCCGAACCTCTGGCTAGGGCTGTGCCCTGCAGAGTTTTTGTTTGGCTTTTTTAGTCAGTCATGAGGCTTGAACTCTGGGCCTGGGCGCTGTCCCTCAGTCTTCAGCTCAAAGCTAGCGCTCTACCACTTGAGCCACAGCACCACTTCTGGCTTTCTGGTGGTTCATTGGAGATAAGAGTCTCTCGGACTTTCCTGCCTGGGCTGAACCTTGATCCTCAGATCTCAGCCTCCTGGGTAGCTAGGATGACAGGCATGAGCCACCAGCACATGGCTACCTGCAGATGTTTTAAATCATAAAAGCTCTAGTCCTAGTAAGCTGGCTTTGAGGGAGTTGGGCTCCTGAAAAATTCTGGGCTTTCTAGAATGTGGGACCTTGGGCAGGGGGTGTTGGGGTGCTGCAAGTTCTCCCTTCCTCTGCCAGAACCTCTCAAAGAAGCAAGAAAGGAAGACAGGAGGCACTTGACAGCACTGGGGAGGGTGTGTGTGTGTGTGTGTGTGTGTGTGTGTGTGTGTTTTGGCTAGTGCTGGGGCTTGAACTCAGGGCCTGGGCACTGTCCCTGAGCTTCTTTTGCTCAAGGCTAGTGCTCTGCCAACTTGAGCCACAGTGCCAATTGCAGCTTTTTCTGTGTATGTGGTACTGAGGAATCGAACCCAGGGCTTCATGCATGCTAGACAAGCACTGTATCACTAAGCCACATGCCCAGCGTTTTTTGTTTTTTTTTTTTTAAAGAACACAAAGGAGACCTTTTCTGTGGCCTGCCGATTGCAGAGGGCAGAATATCACACATTCACCGCTCCTCACCAAAGTGCAAAGACCCATCAGGGGCCTCGGGAAGTGGCCAAAGTCTTTTCAGTGTGCTCACGAATGTACAGAACTCTTTTAGGGGAGATTTCTGTGTGAAGGAGGGAAACTGAAGATAAACGAACCTCCCCTTTCCTGGGAGTCATTCCTTCTTCCTCCTGCGGGATAAATGGAGAGCCTAGACATGGCTCTAATCAACAGTGTCCCCGCCCTAGCCCCTTCTCCACCCCTTTGTGGGGTATAAGAGTGAGCAGAGCTACCAACACCTGGAGGAAGTCAGATGGCTGTCTCCACCCCTCCCTGCTCCCCACCCCCCTACATGCCTTCATCAACCTCAGTCCCCTCCCCTCCCTGCCTCCCCCTCCACACCCATACCTTCACCAGCCGCTGGTCCTCAGAGCCCTGCCTGCCAGGCCCTGTCCTGGGGGTCAGCTACTGCCCCTCTGGTGGGAAGGAGGGCCTGGCCTAGATCTGCCTTAGACCCCTGCCCTATGGGGGAAAACCACAAGTCGGACCCCACAGCAGTTGCTGGGGGCATCTCAGAAACAGTCCCCCTCACCTTGCTCAAGCATCTGAGCACAGCGGGAGTGGGGTGAGTGGCAGGAGGGGAATTCAGCCATACACGAGTAGGGCTGACAGCAGCGGCGCTGTCCTGAGGCACACCACCTCCCACGGGGCCCCGCGGCCTCTTCCTGAGTGTCCACAGCTTTAACATCACCAGATCTGGGCTGAGCCACGTTCACGTGAGCAGCCCCAAAGGCAGAGGTGCAGACGGAGGCAGGAGGCTGTGAATCCAGCATCACTTTCCCAGGTACCCCGTGCCCCCACGGTGGCGTCTGCATCCCTCCAGAACCAACGCAGAAGGCCAGGCAGGATGCCAAGCTGTGGATGCTGGCCCTGGACCAGTGTGTCCATCCCGGGGAGGAGGCTGCGGACACCAGGGCAGAGACCATCCCGGGCCCCCCTGGGGCGCACTGTGGAAAGCCGTGTCCAGTCTCCCGGCTCCCAGGAGAGCCCAGGCCTCCTACCTGCTCTAGGGGGATGACCAGGAAGGAGCCGCCTCCCGCGCTCTCCGTGACGATGGCCAGGAAGCGGGCGTTGACGGCACAGAAGTGGTTGTCGTGCACGTTCTTGGTGATGGGGACCCCATCGAAGCAGTGCTCCCGGTTGGCCACCTTCCCGTAGACGTTCCGGAACTTGGAGCTGCGGTACTGCGGACGCCAGGACATCTGTGAGGGGCCAGGGAGACATGGGTCAGGCTGGCCACCGCTTCAGGAAGTGCCTGCGCTAGGCACTGCACGGGGCAGTGGGTTGGGCACTGTGCTGGGCACTGCTCTGGGCTCTGAGGTCAGCCACGCAGAGCTGAGCCGGGGGTGTCTACCCTCGGGACATGGCAGGGGACGGGCCTTCTGCAGGCCTCAGGAGGAAAGTCTAGTGGACGCATGTTTGCACATTGCCCACTTTGGCTCTACACGCTCGGCTACCTTCCAGAAAGAGTGAGGTCCTAACGTGTCTTTCAACAGAAAAGCAGCCACACATGCAGGACAGACATGGGACATGTGGGGGGGGGACACACAGGACATACATGACACATGCATGACATGTGTGTGGCTCATAGGACAAAATGTGGGACACATGGACGGTGCATAGGACATGTGCAGGACAATGTAGGACACATGATACACATGTTGGGCACACATGATACACGTATGACACACAGGACACACAGATGATACACGTGGGGCACCGTGGGACACTCATGTAGCACATGTAGGGCATGTATGACACATGTGAGCACACAGGGCACACACGGGACACACACATGACACGTAGGACACACATGGGACATACACAGGACACATGGACACACACAGGACAGGTGCAGGACTCACGAAGGGCATACGTAGGACACGTGCAAGGTACACACATAGTATCTAAGCTGTGCTCCATACAGTCCGGGAGTGACATGTGGCAGAGGTGGAGCAGGACAGCCCTTCCCACACTGTCACCTTCTCTTATGATTCTCAACACAATTTCTTCTTCTTTTTTGTCGGTCGTGGTGCTTGAACTCTGGGCCTGGGCGCTGTCCCTGAGCTCTTCAGCTCAAGGCGAGTGCTCTACCACTTGAGCCACAGCGCCACTTCCGGTTTTCTGGTGGTTCATGGGAGATAAGGGTCTCACAGACTTTCCTGCCCAGGCTGGCTTTGAACCTCGAGCCTCAGATCTCAGCCTCCTGAGTAGCTAGGATGACAGGCGTGAGCCACCAGCACCTGGCTTTAACACAATTTCTAACCTACAGCAGCACCTCAGAAACTGTATGGTTCTACAGAGTGTCCTCTGACACCGAGTGGTTCAGTGACGTGACCTAAGCCGCAGAGGGGGCCGTGTGAAGCGGAGACCATGCCAGGTGGCCTTTGCGGCACATCCCAGGGGCCCACAACGCACCTGTAATAAAACCACTTAGCAGGGTAGAGCACTTGAGCCTCCAATGTCACTTGCTACATATCCAGGTTTTGGGGTCCCAGCTCAGGTTCACTGAGCTCAGAGTTCTGAGGACCCCACCACCAGCAAGTTGGTCTGGTGGCCCTGCCACCCTCCAAGTGGGCACACTGAAAGGCAGCCTGAAGTTTGCCCTCCTCGTGTTTCCTTGTCCAGCGTGGACGAAAGTCTCCCAGAGGCCAGCAGGCCCCGCTCCCAGGCTCTGGCTGTGGTGGGGAGGGGAGGGGATGGCGTGGCGGGGGAGGGGGGTAAGGGGGACTAGTCCAGCCTTGCTGCAGGTGACACCCCAATAGGAAAGCCCTATGTGATGCAGCCCTGCAGAGAGAGCCCAGAGCTCTGTGTGTGCTAAGAAACCCCAGACACCCTCAATTATGATCTTCCCGCTGCCAAGATCGGATAGACCCCGGGGCCTCCTGACCATCTTAGGACAGAAAGCAAGCAAATGTCTTCGTTGAGTTCCCAGACAGAAACAGCACCACGGGACTAAGTAATCAGCTTGGAGAATTCGAACCCAAAACTCTGCGTTTGCTTGAAATATAGTCGGGAGCTGGGCCACCCGGAAGTCGAGGAAGGTCAACGTCTTCCAGGAGATCTCATCTTCAGCAAATCCCTTCCCCTCCCTCCCGCCCCAGCTCCTTCTCCCCTTCCCAGACTCTGTTCCTGCAGGCCCATCTTCCCTCGGCTCGCTCCTCCCCTCCTCCCTACCTTTGCCCACATGGAATTCCACCCCAAAATGCCTTCTCTGTCCAATGAGTTGTGCTCGCAAACATCTGCATGAAGTCACGCTGGGAAGAGCGGCTCTGGAACGCCTCACTGATGGCATCACCAATTCCCACAGTGGGCTTCAGGGGGTCACTCAAGGCCCCTTCCCAGGGCACAGAGATGATGCTGGTCATGTGTTTAATTGCATTAGGAAGACAGAACAGTGCACGCCCGATCTATAGGCACCCTGGAGTCAATGGAACCAAATCAAAGAAAAAACATCTGTATCCCTCCCTTCCAGGCAGAACATTCTAGATTCCACCATTCCCATATAAGAGGTATGTGTGGAACCTGCTCACTCCCCACCCTGCTTCTTGCCAGCACTGCTCTGGCCTGCAAACTCCTTCCTGTCAGGTCTCAGAAGTGGATACTAACACCTCTGCTTCTGCTCTCCCTCCACCCCCAGCAGCCTTCCCTGGTGGGAACAGGCCTCTGTGCCAGGGCAGGGCTGATGACCCTGCCTCCCCCTTTCATCTTTCTGGTCTGCCTAGTAGGGCCTTGGAGGTGGAGAAGCCCTGCCAAGCTCCTGGCCTAGTGTCAGCCCAGCCCCTCCTGGAGGGCGCCCAGTCTAGTGGAGGTGGACAGGAAAGCTCAGCCCATCAGAACCCAAGTGTCTGAGCCCAGAGATCGGGGACTCCAGGTTCTCTGTGCAGTGCCAGTGGTTGGGGTCCCCAGGTTCTCCAGGCGGTGCCAATGTGGCCTGGTGCTATGGCTGTGGTCTGGAACAATCTCTGTTGCTTCTTTTGTTCAACAACATGAAAGCTACCTGTGGCTTTACAATGGCACCGACTTTTTGAACATACCAGGCCACTGTCTCATAAGACGTCCTAGCTATTTAGGTCTGGTTGATCTTAGGCCCTCACCAAAGTTGTTCCTGTACCTCCTATAAACATTTTAAGAGTTGGGTCCAGCTAGACGCTGGTGGTTCACGCCTGGAATCCTAGCTACTCAAGAGGCTGAGAGCTGAGGATCATGGTTCAAAGCCAGCCTGGGCAGAAAAGTCTGAGTGACTCTTATCTCCAATGAACCACTAGAAGAACAGATGTGGTGCTGTGACTCAAAGTGGTAGAGCTCTAGCCTACAGCAGAAAAGCTCAGAGACAGAGTAGGCCCTGAGTTCAAGCCTCATAACAACAACAACAATAAAAATAAAAATAGAATAAATGAGTTGAGTCCAAAGCTCTTTCTCCATTTGGGTTGAAAGTTCTCCATGACTGATCTGTCCTCTGAGAAGGGAGAGGCGAGGAGATGGGCGAGCAAGCACTGGTCAGCCCTCTGACAAGGGGAGCAGCTGGCCAGAGCTTGCTCATTTTAGAGGGTGGAGGCCACAGGCCTAGAGACTGGGCCAGGCTCAGAACGCCGTGGCCAAAGCTGAGCTTTGCTTCCCACCTCCATCACTGAGGGCTGAGCTCAGCTGCTGTGGGCTGTGGGGACAGATGCCGCCGCCCCGTGTGCCCAGAGAGGCCCAAGGGCCGCATCTGGCTGCAAGCGCGCTGCTGCCCAGACGTCTGCACAGTGAGTGAACGGCGACATGAAAACCGGCCATTTCCCCTGCTACGCCTCGCCCAGATGGTGGTGGCTCCCTGAACCTCTCAGAACCAATGAGTGCCACATTTGCGCTCCCTCTAAGGGAGGCCTCTTGGACTGATTGAAGTGCCTGAGACGGAAAAGGAAGCTGCCATGGGAGGTTGTGCGCTTCCCTCCCCTGGAAAGAGTCCAAGGGCATTGTGGAACAAGGAATGAATGAATGGAGCTGCATAGCTAGAGCAAGAGAACAGATCAGCCAATGGACGGGGGTGTTGGGTCAGAACCTACCCCTGGCTCTGCCACCCTAGCTAGAAGTGTGCTGCCATCTTCCCTCCTTCTCCCACAGACCCAGGAGTTCACCTGGAGAGGGAGGAGAGGGCCCTGCTGGGCTCTGCTGGGTACCAGCTGCAGGTAGGGGCAGGAAGAGGCTCTGGCCTTTCTCTCTGGCTGTGGGCACGGCTCCTGGCATCCCCTAGCTGGGGCCCTGGGCCACGTGGGGCTCCCTCTGAGAGAGAAGGCCCGGAAGGAAGCAGCTGCTATTTTACAGCTGAGGGCCCTTGTAGCCTCTCAAGAAATGGAAGCTGGCCTTTCCCCTCCTCTGGGATAATCACTACATCCGCCCCACACTCTGTCCTCAGCTCTCAGAAATGGCTTATCATATCCAGCAGGTGATGATGAAATTTGCTTCTATAGCTGGATCACCAAAAAAGCACACAGGCAGCATTGCTTTCCCATCCTGGGCTCAGGTGTGGGGTGCTCGTGGCTGTGTCCATATGCAGGGGCTTGGGTGCGGGAAGCTCATTCGTGGCTATGTCCACATGCGGGGGGGTGTGGTTGGGGAGATGCTTTGGCTGCTTGGTGGGGGTGGGCACAAATCCCAAGAGGCAACCCACCAGGGCATAGGAAGCTGTCAGAGAAAGACTGGCAAGCTCCATTGCTTGGCGATGAGCACTGGGCCGTGGGCCGTGGGGGCTAACCACCTGCTTTATCCAGGCTCAGGGGCCTCTTAACTGTGAAATCAGTGTTCCAGTTCTAAGAACCCAAAAGAGGTTAGGATGGGGGGGGGAGAGCATGCAGGGGGGAAATGTGCCAGGCCTGTGCACCAGATGTGACAGAGAATAAACATTAGTCACCAGCACAGGCGAGTCTGTCTCAGTCATTCAGAGATGGGCAAGAGCTGGTCATCGATCGGGTCCTCGTCCACTTCTAAGCCAGTTCGGCTTTCCTACACCCAGAAAACCTGAACCCACAGGCGAGACACAAACCAGGTAGCCAGAGTCCTAGGAAGCTGTCACCCAGGGCTCAGTGACATCTTCTATAAATGGAGGGCTCTGACCTCATTCCTCAGCAGACAAGCCCTGCCTATAAATACCTAGCCCCAGAGAAGGAACCTCCTATTCCGACGGCAAGGCAGCCTTCCAAGTTCAAACCCTGCTTTACCAC